TAGATTTTTGGTAAAATTAGTTACTGAAAGTTTTAAAAAATGTTTTGATTATTAATTGGCCAGTAACTAGTAATAAAATATTAACATACTTTGTCTTAGAATAATCCTCACATAAATAGTTGTAAAATGCATGATATCTAATAAACCATTACACATTTGCTATAATGAGGAAGTGTTGGTTAATTCCTTAGAATAGTTGTCATTATTGCAGGTCAGCATTTTTTATAAACAAGATCCATCTAATACATAAAACAAATATTACTTAAATCAGTTATTACTGTGATTTTCAAATCACTAAATATTGTTCTTTATTCATAAGGTTTAACTTTGAAGAAGTTCTCTATTAGATGCAATGATAATTACATAATTACAAGTCAATACCAAATTTATTTTATGTGATCAGTCTTATAAACTTTTCAAGTTTGTAAATTTTCAGAGATAGAAAAGAATAACAAAAAATTTTCATTTTATATGCAACAAAAATAAAAATTCATAAACTTAAGGAATCAGCACATATGCTAGGCCACAAAAATCTCCTGAGCCAACCAAGCATAGAAATGAATACAATATGGGAACCAGGAATAAGGAATGCCAGAGAAAAGCAATAATAACAAGAAAAATTGCAATATGAGCTCTGGTAAAAATCATACAATGATATCAGCAAAAATTGCTATATGAGCTCTGATAAAAAATGGTTGCTGAAGACATTAGGTTTTAATACCCAGAAATTCATACACAGATGTCCTCAATATCACATGACACTGTGGATAAAGACGTTAGATCCAGTGACAGGACCCAATACCTGGTTAAAGTGGTGGAGAACTTTGAGAGGGGAATTAACAGGAGATAACTGACATCTATTAGACATGGCACGTGGAACTAGAACAGTCTACCCCAGTGAGCGAAATAAAGGGTTCAGTTCGACATTCCAATAACCTGAAGAAGGCCGGAGTGTACAACAGCCGAAACGTGATAAACATGGCGACAAAGATGAGGACAATAGTCCGAATAATGTAAATAGTGAACAAAAATAAAATAGGAATATTTTAAATGACATTTTCTTTGGTAATGACTAAGCAGTAAAGGTGTTGCAATACTTAGACAACTTTCTGTCCTGTTTATAAAATTAGTTTATCTTTAAAAGATACTTAACATTATTTACATTGTTTGAACTGTTGTCCTCATCTTTACTGCCATATTCATGACATTTTGGCCGCTGTATGCTCTGGTCTTCTTTAGGTGATTGGAATTTTGAACTGAACCCTTTATTTCGTCAACCAGGGTATATTGTTCTAGTTCCACACGCCATGCCTCTTCCAGGTGTCTCAGTTATTTCCCTTTAACTCAACTTTCCAAGTTTTTGTTCACTACTGCAGTAGCCAGGGTATTGAACTCACAACTTTTTGGGTTAAGTCACTGGATTCAATCAACACTTTTATCCACTGGGCTGAAACATCACGAATCAACAGTCTGAACAATGTAAATAATTACAATACCTTATCTCGGAAATATAGACAGAAATTAAAAAGATACCTTTTTTATTTTAAATCCTTCTGGTGTATTAATTGATCACTATAGTAGACAAGTATTTTAAGCTTATTGACAGAAATTTGTGTTGAATTTTATAGTGCTATATTCTGGTCATGTGTTTAAATTCTGTCACTATTCACATTTCTTTATTTTCTTTATTTGAAATGAATTTACTTTTAAAGAGTGAAGTTGTGAAATAACTATATCAATGACATTGACCAAAGCATAAAGCAGCAATATCTTTCTATATAAATCTACAGAACCTGTATACAAATATTTAGTTAGTTTCTTAAATTAAATTAATCTTTTAACTCTGATGCTTATCTGGCAGTTTTTACTTTTATTTCTTTCAATCCATATCATGTCTGGGCTGATTACAAAGAAGGAAATGGAATAAGTTTTGAAGACTTTTTCCTTACCTGCTACTGATTACTAATAGTTTTTAGTTCTTGAAATGTCAACAGAGAACTGTGTAAGCCCTTTTACTTTGAAAGTGTTTTGATGATCATTATTTTCATGTTATTTTTATTTCAGAAAGTATGGATTGATTTATATGCCTTGATAATTAATCTAAAATTACTTTGAATAGCTTAGAAATCTTCTAATTTTATTTAATCAAATAGATAAAATATTTATAAATCTTTGGTAAAAAAACATTGTTACTCAAATTTATCAATTGATTTATATCCTGGCACTCTAGCACAATTATCAGAAGTCCACACTAGAGGATAAAATTAGGGCAAAATAGGAGTTATTTTTGGTTAAATGAAAATAGACTTGAGACAACCAGAAGGAGAGCAAGAGAAAGTAACAAATTTACTTCAACTCTAGCTCTTTTAAAATTTATGTTTTTGTCTACTTCCTTTTTTCTTTAGCAGTTTCATCAATTTAACAATGCCAACATTCTTCCTATGAGTAGTGAGAGTATATAAGTCAGTTTTTATAACCACAAATGTACTCAATATCTACAAACTCTTGGAACACTTCTACTGCAAATCACTAACTTTCTTGATTATTCAGCTAATCTCTCTATTCTGTCATTGTTCAACAAGTTTTCTCCAGTTTCTGTTGTCCCTTAGTTTGTGTGTATGGATCTTTTTATATGCCACCTTGTTTGGCAAGCTATTTCATTGTATATACAAGGAAAGGAGTTTGACCATAGGTAATCCTCTTCCAACTCCTATGTAATTCTATTTTCTGAAATATGATCTATTAGGCAATGATATTTCCAGCTATCATGGAAGAAGAAAAATTCCAGAAGAGAATACATGCACACTTTTGTACTTGAGTTGGACAACTCTGTGAAATGTTGTCAAATTATCTTATTTGTAAATATGTTCTATTAATATCATTTTACATGTACTTGAGCAATTGCTGATTAAAAAGAAGTCTTTGCTCTTTAAAATTTTAAAGTTAACTTATAGTAACAATTGTCACTGATTTGATAATGAAGATAAAATTGTAGATTTCTTGACTTGTTGTTCCAGTTTTTATAACTAAGCCTTAGCCAAAACTTTTTTGCTACTTTTGCTCTACTTTGCATCACTTATATACAAATAAGAATGTCTGAGTTATTTGACATCATGTACAAAAACAAATCTCTAGACACTTGTATTTTTTAATGAACAAAGCCTTTGACATTTTTGAATGTTGAAAATAAAATATTACATTAAAATTGTTTTCACTTTGAAATTCCTCGGAACTATTGGGTTCCTAATCCAGCAGAATTTTCTAAAGGCAAATCTTTAATACTTATGTTAATGCACATAATTGAAAATTTATTGAGTACCTTTATGACATTATTTATTGAGTCATGGTTTGACTTTAATACACTAGATTGAAGTTTTATTGAAATGGAATTATATCCCAAATATTAAATTATTCTATTGTTTATTTGACAATTTTGCAAGAATATTTTAAGTTTCAACATTGTAAGGAAAACCATAAAAATGTATTTCTTTTTCTTACCTTTGATTTAATCAATGTCAAATTCTTCTAAATTTTAAAATATAATATCTGTAGTATATATTTTTATCCAAATGAAAAATTGTCTAAAAAATCATAAAATTATTTTTATACAATGCAGTTATTACTTTAACATCTTCACTGCTTAAAATATATATTGAGTGTTCATGAAAATAGCCTTCCTTCATAGCTCTATTATCTTCTGTTTCTGCTTTTGAGTTTGTTAAAATGATTCAAATAGTTACTATCTTTCAAATGGCATTTAAAAATGCCTTTTACTCGTTTGAACTCATCAAGAGGAAATTATGTACATTCTTTTTTCTCATTAATAACTTTGTTCTTGGCAGAAACTCATCTCAACATTTTCTATTTCTCTTTTTCTTTCCAATTAAAACAATTGTATTTTTGTACTTTGAACACCTGCTTTGATTTTTTTAACCGTTAGTTTTATCATCACTTTATATAATATTTTACATGTTGGAAAGATTAAGCTAAATGTCCATTATGTTAGTTAATATGTATGTTCATATACCTATCCACATGTATAATTATATGTATTATCTCATACACCCTCCATAACTTTTGTTTGGATATTCTTATACTATTGTTCTCAGATTTATTAGTCACAATGATTCATCAAAATAGTCATTTTTGAGCATCAACCAATTTTGTACATAACTGAATTCTAAAATATTCAGGTTTATGAAATGACAATGCTTTGTAAAATATACTTGTATAGTTAATATTTGCTTAATTCAGTTTTTCAAACTTAAATTCATGCATTTAACAAACTTTGTAAAGACAATTGCAGGCAAATATTTATACTTTTGAACAAGTATGGAAAACTGAATATAGTGGTTTTGTTTGAAATTTTAAGATAGTGAATTATTATTATTATTATTATACACTGATTTATTCCGATTAATGTCCTCATCTTGGTAGCTGTCGTGACATCATTTTGACCATTATACCTTTCTGCCCATTTTAGGGCTTTGTCATAGTAATCTTAGCAATAGCAACCAATCAGTGTATAATAATGAATATAGTGCTTCCTGCATTGTCTGACATCAAACACATTTTGTTGCCTTGAATGTGATAATTCCAAAGAGTGACATAATATTAAGACGCATTGAAAAAAATTACTTTAATTTCCCTTTTTTTTAACTTTTTTTTTTTTTTAACTTAAATATAGTAAGTAAATAGTATATATATTAAGTAAATTTATTTCTACTAGTCTATACTTGATAACAAATGGTGAAGCTGTTTTATTTAAGCCACATATATTGCACTTGAAAATGACTGACAAAATTATTGTTGAAACCCATTGTGACAAAAAGAGAAGATTTTTACATAATGGAACAGTATAAGAATATCAGTCTATCATATAATGAATTTCAACAATGTTTTTATCACTAATCATTAGTTAATTTCATGTTTACACTTTGGCTCACTATCACTTTTACCTGGATCCATTATATCAATCCTGTCCCTATTTTCAATTGTAGAGGGTTTTCTCCTCCAGATACTAGGCCTTTGACTACTGAGCATGATTACTACAACACATTGGAGGATCTGGCCACGTAAGTGCAGTATAGGGAATTTTCTGTGGAGCTACTGTTGTCTTCATCACGGTGTTGCTCTCAAAGGTTCAAGGGTCAATACTTCCTGCTTGTCCCTTTTGCTATCATCCCATCTGTGGAAGACTGCTGCTTGTATGCCTTGGTGTTAGTATGATGGTGTTGTGATGTGTTAAACAGTAGTACTAGTAATTAGTAGTATTTTTAGTGAACGTCTGTGAGATGTTTGTTTATATTATTTCTTTCAAAAGTGAGCTTAACAAATTTAAAAACAAACAAAAAAAATAGTTTTGTTATGGTCTGTTCATTTTAAAGTTTCCTGTGTGACAAACAACACTAATACTATTACTAACCAGAGATTGTTTTCAACAGCATCACAATGTTCAAAGCTTTTATTGTTGAATTTATTTGAAATACTGGGACTAATATTTTATATATATGAAAAAAATTATTGTGTTGTTTCAAGTTTATAAATCTGTTTTTGTTCAGTTCAAATAAAATTCATACTTTTATTCTTGAATTTATGAAATTTATATATGTATGCAGAAATTTATAATTTAAACATGTCATATATGTTAACTATTATATACATTAAAAAGTTCAATTAAAATGTTATATTTTTTAAGATGCATTATCTCTTAAACTGATTGATATATTTAAGATTATTTTTAATATGGCATATTGTATCATTTTACATTAAAATCTGTAAAAAAAATACATTTTGACGAAAGGAATAAACAGGTAGCAGTATCAAATAGAAATGGATAACTAAAAAATTTGTTGACTTTTATTTGAAGCACTTATAAATTTTAATACTTATAAATAGAAGCATTACATACTAACAAGAAAGAGATAAAAGCATTACAATGAAATATTCAACTTGAAATAGTATATTGATGTTATCCATGAAAAAACTTGTCACATGGAATGTAATATAGATTTTTATCCTCTATATAGTGCAATATATAAATGTACTAACTTGCTGGAAGCATAGGAAAATTGTTACACCAAACTTATTTTGAAGATAAGGCTTTAAAACTCCTGATTTTTCATCTGGACTTGGACACCACATACAAGTGCTAGATGCAAACATGCACCTAAAACACCAAGCAGGCCGATTGCTGATTCACTATGATGAGGCTAGCTTTGTACAGCAACCAACAAGGCTTGAACTTACTAGTAAAGCCATGCAAGATTTCTTTGCTAAGCAATGCTCTATAGCAGGGTTGTATGAGGAGGAATCATTGTCTGTTGCCTCACAATATAATTGAATTTTGTTCAGAAATTTTTATTATATAATCTATATGATGAATATTTACCACTGAATTAAGTGCATTGACAAAGGAAATCATGTTGAAAAATATTTCTTATATAAAATGTTTTTCCCTCATTATTAGGCTAATTTTACTGTAGTTAGATATAATTTTAAAATAAATGGCAAGCTGTAGTCATTGTTTTAAGTTAAAATTCATTGTATTGACATTGAAAAAGAGCCAGGTAAAATAGAATAATAATAAAAAAAGTTGCTCTATAACAAGCTATATTCTTTAAATGTAAAAATCAGAATGCTTTCTTTTAACCCAAATGAAAGTTAACTAGTTAAAGAACCAATGTTGATCACCAGTAAGTTGTTATGCCCTTTCCAAATGTATATAAAATATACTATATGAAACTCTTGTTTCTTAAATATAAAAACATTTTCTTTACTATCTGGACACTAACTATAAATACTTAAATAATAGTAAAATACATTCAGCTGTTAATTATTCAATATTTAACACCACCATCAACACTAAGATATACATTATTTCCTGCATTTTCCTCTGGCACAAATTTCTTTTTATAAAATAGCAATAATGATTTTTGACTAATTGCTTTTTTACTTTATTCTTCACTTTGATATTTTCCTCTCTTTCTAACAATTGCCTTAAAATAATGCTGGTTTTTCCAAAAATTTGATATGAAGTAATCTATTAATGTGAATGATTATTTTTTTATAACTGAGTTGATTGCTAATCTTATCAACTAATGTAGTTAAGAAACTATAAAGATGTAAGGCTTTTTAGGGTATGTGTATATTCATATATTTTATACCTGGATACTGTCATGTTTAAAATCTCCATTTGGTAAAAATGTGCATTACACATTTTCATTTGATGAAGATTTACCACTCAAAAGGTGAATTATGTATATCCACTAAAACCATGAAAAAACAACAAGAAAACTAAATTCAAATTATTTTTTTTAACTGATGATTACAGTCTGCTGAATTTCACTGAAAAAAAATTGTCTTTGTTTATTTTAAAATCATATCATTATATTTTATAATGTTTTAAGTTTAAAGAAAAAAAAATAGATCTATTTATTTTCATTTTAGGTTTACAGAACCTTATTTATTTTAAATATTATGTATCCAAGAAGCCCAATTTTGCACTTAAACTATTAATGTCATTTAAATTTAGTTTTAATCAAAACTAATCTTGATTTTCATTTAACTATCTCTGAAAAAATAAAATTTTCACTTTTTAATCAGTTGCTAGTGGTGGTACCATATTGTTAATATTTAGTTTTAATTTTAAAACAATTGATCAGTTTTAGGTTAGGTTATGAGATTCAATTTTCATGATTTTATGTACATCAGCAAATGGAAAAAAACAATACTGAAATTTGATATTTTTCATTTTTGTGCATATGTCTTTAATTACAGATAAAATCTGAGATTTTCTTTGTATTTACAAACAAAAATATTCTAAGATTTTACTTGTTTTTAACCAATTGGTACAAATATAGACATTACTTATTTAAAGTTAATATTATGCATGTGGTACAATCATCAGAGTATTATTCATTTAGAGTTCATGAAATTCAATGAAGCACTTAAATACACATATATATGTCCAGCAGCTGCAATGTGTCTGTAAAAGTTTGGTTGAAAAGCATCCTATGCTTTTCAATAGGAAAAAATGTTGTTCCCCTCCATGACAATACATTGCTACATACAGTACAAATAACACAAGAAAAAAAATTTAGAACTGCTTGATAAGTGGCAATAAGTTTTTGCAAATAATGGGGAATGCATGATTAAATAAATGTAGTTGTATTATATATATATATAATAAATTAATTGATTTAAAATATGTTTTTTTTTCGCTACACAGTTCCAACCATGTTTCAAAAATAGAAGCTAAAAACCCCGAATTTAATTTTGCAATTAAATTAAAAGCATTAGTTCCATTTAAAACTGAAATTATTTCTGACTCAGCATAATACCTTCAAAAGGAATAGGAATAGATAATTAACAAGGACAGTAGAAAAGGTTTAGTAATTTTTCTGAAATTGTGGCGACACTTGACATCTCTTGATCTATGGTGTCTCATACAAACTGGGAAAACGTAATGGAAAGCATTTCTGTGGAGGACAATGAAGTGTCTGGCAGTAAGTCCTAAATGATCATGAACAGAGCTGTTTAGCTAAAACTGTCTGCAGTCATAGACAATTGATTGTCTCTCCAATCATATTCAATACAACAAATACTAGATACATATCCAGTAGGTCAGTTCAGTTTTATTTAGCTTCTATAGGATATAGGAGCAGATGGGATATTTTTGTTGTATCAACTAATGAAACACACAAGATTATTCGATTACTGTTAACCAGTGCGGGTGTGTGTAGTGCTAGGCCCTAATTCAAAAGTGAATCACTCTCTTATCACAGGGGTTGCTGTTTATATACCTATATTTATGAAATGTCTCTTTCCCACACACCCCTCACTTTTAGTAACTCAGTGTATTTGAAGTGAAATTGGAATGCAAGGGCCCCTTTATTTACAAGCAGCTTTATTTAAGTTACATGCATCTGCTCATGCATGCAAGGTATACAAAGGTTGGTCAAAAGGTAATGCCTATTTTAATTTTAAAAGTATTAGTCATAATTCCTTGAAGTTTTTTTTAGTTATAAACCACAAAGGGTTTACGTTGAAAAATTTGTGGAGTTACCTTCTCTTTTCCTACCCATAATCCTCTTTCACAATGGCTATTCATTTAGACACACAGAAAATAAAGAGCTGTTTTTGGAAAGAGGAATTGCTCCATACATTCACAGGAGGAATGCTTATGGAAAAGCTGCACTTGATATAAGCAAAGTAAGGAGATATATCAGACAAGTTAATGACAAACCCAGAGAAAGAAATTGACCATAGTGACAGACCACACAGTGGCAAGTCAGCTGCTGCTGTGAATGCGGATAAGGCCAAGTAAGCTGATGTTTCCATTACAGGAAAAGAATTACCATTACAAAGCACTGTGTAAGCTTTCAATTAAGCCAAAGTAGTGGCTTTAGTTTAATACAGGCTTACAGTTCCATCACATTGAAATACCAGTTCCTGTATAATTACCAAAGTTAAGCAATGTTGTGCCTAGTTAGTACCTAGATGAGAATACCACATGTAAGTTTGGATGTGAAGTGGTGTAATGAATAATGGCTTTGATTTGTTAATTGGAGAGCTGAATTCCAATTCGGTTCACTATATTCACTTACATGTAAATACCTTTGTGAATGGTATGAATCCACCTCTTCTCCCCCCAGATATAGGTTAATTAGTAAGACTTGTATCACTAAATCATTACCGTAAAAAAAATTCTTACAATTTAATATATATATATATATATATATATATATATATATTTCTGGCTTTAAATAACCTGCAGAAAATCAGTTAATCGGTTTAATACAATCACTTAGCTACTCAAAGGTCTTTGCAAAGTGGATTTCCAGAATAGTAACAGATTTTACCTTGCAGTCCTGACCTGGCACACTCAGGTTTCTCTTTGAGGATGCCACTTCTCCACTGATGATGAGAAAGCGGCAACTTGAACATTGGTAAGAAAGCAGCCAAGACGTTTCTACAAAGCAAGTGTACATTCCATCATTCAGAGACTAGATATGTGTTCATCTTAGTATACTTTGTGTGTTGCTTCAAATAATTCTGTTTCAATTAAAGAACA